ATTCCTGATTAAGTGAAGGCCGCTGCTGCAGTCTAGAAAAGGTCCCTGCTCTCGGGCGGGGCCTTGGGCGCCTGCTTTACCTGACGGTCAGCAGGAGGAGCTGGTGCCGCCCCCCCCTATCAATTCAGAGGGATACAGCGAAAAACGGTCCGAGTGGCTGCCGGACCATCGCTGCATATGCGCGAACAGAGCGGTATGCAGCGTCTTGCATGATCGACAGTTGTGGGACTTGTTCCCCCGAAGATCGGGAAGAGCGTGTCGGCGGAAATTTCAACGACGCTGGAAATATCCACTCCCGGAGGGCACAGGTTCTTACGCAGGTTCAATCTGAATCAACAGATGTCTGCCAGTTGGATCGACCCCAAGCTTCAGCAACTCAGTCAGCAAAAGGTGTTTTAAATTCCACGTATCAAGACCGACTGAGTAGGCAGATCCGGCGTTGATGAAGGTTAGGCGAATGGAGTCAACGTCGAGTGGTTTGAATTGATATCGAGCCCGATGCCGACCCTTCCCCCAGTCCCGTATCAATAGTCCGGAATCCTCAATCTCGTGGAGGATTCGATATACGGTGCTGACACCTGTGCGCATTCCATCTCGAATGAGCTGGCGATGAATATCTTCCGCACTAATCCCTCCCGCACCCGCAGAGTTGATGATTTTCAATATACTGACTCGGGCAACGGTAGGTCGACAACCAATTGCCCTTAATTTATGCAGAATATACGGTTCAGCGTTCACGGCGATAACAGCCCGCTCATTGTCGTGCGGACCGGGAAGATTGCGAAAGAAGAATCAGTTGCTTTCTTGGTGCAATAAACAAGAATTGGTTTTCGCTAACGAAAGCCGGTGCCTGCGATAGACCCACAGCGATCTTCTGCGTCGACAATCCCATGTTTAACTGGAATCGATGGATAGATGAGTTGAACAGCACCGATTGCAAAAAAACCGCCCATCAAAATTTACGCGATGGGCGGCACCGGAAATCGAGCCGCTGCATAGCAGACCAACAGAATTCGCAGCCAACCTAGATTTGGTGGAAGCTTTTCATTAGCCGCCACCAACAAATGGCATAGTAGAGGCAGCCTGGGAGAAGCGGATAAAAATCAATCGAATGGCTTCTTTGTGCGTGGATTGTTGTCAAAGATTGAAATATTTGCCTGCCATTTTCTCGCAATGCGGAGAATTCGCATTTTGCTGCAAAAACATGCATGTAATTTATTCTTTATTTAATATTTTAATACCAATTTATTATTTAATTTATTTGTAGAAATAATTTTAAGATTTTATTTGTATATCCTTAGCGTTCTATTTGGCGATGGGTGTGCGCGCCAAAAGGAGAGGGAAAGGAGTGAAAGCTTTCTGTAGGAATTTCACTTATTCCCAATTTTTGTGCAGCCATTCCCTATTCTTGTGCAATTTTTCCTTTAATTACTGTTCTTATGGGAATGGAAAGGCTTCTGATGCTCCCATAGAGTTGCTTTGGATAGAGGGTGTTGGTGAGCAGATCAAGGGCACGTGCGGCCTTCCCTCATCAGATACTGGGCCGCAAGACAGCGACGCCATCGCGGCCAGGAGGGTCGGATTGGCCTGAGCGC